CAGAGTCTGCAGCTGCTGGATGAGAGGGGAGACTGGGAAAGTCGGGGGAATGGACTCCGCTCTCTTTGAGAGTGAGACTCGTTACCGCCACCTCCCCTCCAGCTCCTGATGCTTTAAGTTACAAGAAAAACACTGTGATGTTGATACAGGCCTTCAGTTCCTATTTGTTGACATAGGAAAGTTCTACTTTTTATAGTTTTAAGAATGTCTTTGTTAGCTCAGTGTGCTTATGTGTAAAACTCAAGTTAGATCAAAAGAAAAAAGAAAGAGACAGAGAGAGAGAGAGAGAGATTCCTTGTGGTATGAACATACTTTCCCCCGCTATAAAATAACTCTTGCAAATGCACACTGGAACTAGCTAGAAAAACTTCCCAAATAAGAAAATGAACAGACCATGAAGGTGGATTATAGTTGATACGGTTGATAATGAAAGCTATCAATATATTTTCACATACTGCATTTGTTCAAAAAACTATCCAGGGGCACCTGGGTGGCTCAGTCGGTTGAGCGCCCGACTTCGGCTCAGGGCATGATCTCGCGTTTCATGAGTTCAAGCCCCAGGTTGGGCTCTGTGCTGACAGCTCAGAGCCTGGAGCCTGCTTCGGATTCCATTTCTCCCCCTCTCTCTGCCCCCTCCCCTGCTTGTGCTCTCTGTCTCTCAACAAATGAATAAATGTTAAAAAAAAAATTTTTTTTTTTAAACTATCCATTGGGGCTCCTGGGTGGCTCAGTTGGTTAAGAAGGTAAGCGTCCAACTTCGGCTCAGGTCGTGATCTCACAGTTTGTGAGTTCGAGCCCTGCGTCGGGCTCTGTGCTGACAGCTCAGAGCCTGGAGCCTGCTTCGGATTCTGTGTCTCCCTCTCTCTCTGCCCCTTGCCAGCTCACACTCTGTCTCTCTCTCTCTTTCTCTCTCTCTTTCAAAAATAAACATTAAAAAAAAAACACACAACTATCCATTAATACTGGTACCACCAACTATGAGTGTATTTAAAAACTAATAATAATGTTGGTACTTTAGCAAGTAGCTAAAAAGAAACCAAACCATTTTCTGTACAGTAAAATTCTCTGAATTTCAAGAGTGTGAGCCTGTGACCTGATAAGCCTGCAGCAGGCCATGAAGTAGAGAATGGACATCCAGCCCTGGCTGACACCCTGGCTGCACCCGAAGAGCAGACAGTGGCCTCCCTTGCTCCATACACCCCCGCCTGCCTCGGGCCCCCACTCGTCACAGGCCAACTGGCTTACTGGCCATGTCTTCTCATGGCCACACCTGGTGTACAGAACCATGCAGTTTCAGGGTGCTGCACTGTCCCCGGGGAAACCCAGGCAGACACCCTCTCTCCAAACAACTGAAACGCACAGATTGATTGCCCTCCAGAGAAAAGGATTTACCCAGGTCTGTGACTCTTAAATGACAGGCAGGAACACTTGCTTAGAAAAATATAATTCAATTTACATTTGGGGAACAATAAATATTTACTGTTTTTGTAAATAATTCTGGGTCAGTGTGGGGTTAAAAATACTGATCTGAAGCCTTTAGGTGCAATAGAAACTTTTTCTGTTTTGAGAAACGTGCTAAGTTTCGTTCTTACACATGGGTTCCAAAGAATACTACTGACTTGACAGGTTTTCTGCCAATACACGTGTCCCTTCTTGAGTCAAAAAAGGAATGAAACCAAATCCGTTTTTCTGCATTAACTGCCACTAATTATCACAATCTTTGGGAAGCTGCTGCTGAGATCCCCTAGACATAATGTTAAGCCTGGTTTTGCTTCATTTGAATCACTCTGGGGAAATTATCAAAATAGTAAGTAATAAGGCTTTAAGATGAACTGCTGATGATTTGGTTAGGTGTAATGCAGTTTTTCATGATTTCCATATCAATGGCAATTCAAAACAAACTGTTACCATTTAAGTTTTGGCCACTTACCTTCTGTCCCTTCACTCCATGGCAGTCACACTTCCCGCAGCCAGAGCCAGCACAACCGCCCTGGAAGGAAGAGAAAAACGTCTTTAAATAGAAGGACTCTTGCAAATTGAGGTCACTTTTTGAATTGAAATGATTTTGGCATCTTCACCTATTTATGGGAAATGTCCTACCCCGTTATGAGGAGTACGACCTCAAAATGTGAGATCTGCACTTGCTCTCATGGGGTTATCATGTACGTAGCCTCTGGCTCCTCTCTCTTGCCCTCATAGATGAAATAGTAGTCCTGGAGTAGAGCAAATCAAAGCATTACTTGCTCCACAAACTGAAGGCTTCTATTTATACTTTTTGGAATCGCCTCTCCAGGGATGATTTTAACAGGGCATCACCCATATTTGCAAGGCTATGATACTGATTAAGGAGTTTCAGACCAGAGACCAGGGAAACTGAGGCCCCAGGAAAGCAGAGTCCATGCTTTGTCCTCCAAATTCCCAAGGACACACAAGTATGCAAAAAATGTTTGTGCAAAGAGGAAATAAATGAAGGAGCTTATTTTAAGCCCAACCTTAGAGAACTGATTTTCAATTCAGTTAAAGCTTGAATGAAAAGAACCCAAGCATGTAATAAAAGCTGGAGAAGAGGAACATTCTCCAGAATAGATCACATATTAGGCCACAAACCAAGTCTCAACAAGTTCAAAAAGATTGAAATCATACCATGTATCTTTTCTGGCCACAATGCAATGCAACTAGAAATCAACCACAAGAAAAAATCTGGGAAGACCACAAATACGTGGAGGTTAAATTACACGCCACTAAACAATGAATAGGTCAATCAAGAAATCAAAGAAGAAATAAAAAAGTACATGGAAACAAATAAAAATGAAAGCATGATGGTCCAAAACCTTCGGAACACAGTAGAAGTGGTTCTAAGAGGAAAGTTTACAGCAACACAGGCCTACACCAAAAAGCAAGAAAAATCTCAAATAAACAACCTAATGTTACACGTAAAGGAGCTAGAAAAAGAAGAACAAACAAAACCCCAACCCAGCAAAAGGAAGGAAATAATAAAGATTAGAGCAGAAATAAATAGAAACTAAAAAAACAAGAGAACAGATTAATGAAACCTGGAGCTGCTTCTTTGAAAAGATCAACAAAATTGATAAACCTCTAGCCAGATCCATCAAGAAAAGGAGAGAAAGGGGCGCCCGGGTGGCTCAGTCGGTTGAGCATCTGACTTCGGCTCAGGTCATGATCTCGCGGTTCGTGGGTTCAAGCCCCGCGTCAGGCTCTGAGATGGCTCAGACCTGGAGCCTGTTTTGGATTCTGTGTCTCCCTCTCTCCCTGACCCTCCCTCGTTCATGCTGTCTCTCTCTGTCTCAAAAATAAATAAACGTTAAAAAAAAAAATTAAAAAAAAAAAAGAAAAGAAAATCTAAATAAAGTAATTAATGAAAGGGGAGAATAACAACCAATACCACAGAAATACAAACAATTGTAATAAAATATTATGATATAATATTAATTCTATTAAATCATTATATTAGGACATAATATTAATATATTATTCCAATATAACAAAATAGAATAATATGCCAACAAATTGGACAACTTAGAAGAAATGGATAAATTCCTAGATGTATATATAATCTACCAAAACTGAAGCAGGAAGAAATAGAAAATTTGAACAGACCAATTGCCAGAAATGAAAATGAATCAGTAATCCAAAAAACCCCAACAAATGAAAGTCTGGGACCAGCTGGTTTCACATACGAATTCTACCAACATTTGAAGAAGAGTTAATACCTAGTCTCAAACTACTCCAAAAATTAGAAGAGGAAGGAAAACTTCCAAATTTATTCTTGAGACCAGTATCATTCTGATACCAAAACCAGATAAAGACACCTCAAAAGAAAAGGGGGAGGGAACTACAGACCAATATCCCTAATGAACATAGATGCAAAATTCCTCGACAAAATATTAGCAAATAGAATCCAACAATACCTTTAAAAAAATCACTCACCACGATCAAGTGGGATTTATTCCCAGGATGCAAGGGTTGTTCAATACTCACAAATCAATCAACATGATATATCATACCAACAAGAGAAAGGATGAAAACCATACGTTCATTTCAACAGATGCAGAAAAAGCATTTGACAAAGTACAACATCCATTCATGATACAAAACCCTCTGATACCTCAATATAATGAAGGCTAACAATGAAGCAGCAGAAAAAGAAATTAAGAAAATAATCCCATTTATAATTGTACCAAAAAAATAAAATAAAATACCTATGAATAAACTTAACCAAAAAGGTGAAAGAAAGACCTGTACCCTGAAACTATGAATCACGGATGAAAGAAATTAAAAACAACACAAAGAAATGGAAAGACAGTCCATGCTCATGGATTGGAAGAACAAATATTGTTAAAATGTCAATACTACATAAAGCAATCTACACATTTAATGCAATCCCTATCAAAATACCAACAGCATTTTTCACAGAACTAGAACAAACAATCCTAAAATTTGTATGGAACCACAAAAGGCCCCAAATAACCTAAGCGATCTTGAAAAAGAAAAACAAAAGCAGAGGTATCACAATTCCAGACTTCAAGTTACATTACAAAGTGGTAATCAAAACAGTATGGTACTGGCATAGAAACAGACATAGAAAGAATAGAATAGAATAGAATAGAATAGAATAGAATAGAATAGAATAGAAAGACTAGAAATAAACCCACAATTCTATGGTCAATTAATTTTTCACAAAGGAGGAATGAATATACAATGGGGAAAAGACCATCTCTTCAACAAATGGCGTTGGGAAAAATGGACAGCCGCATGCAAAAGGATGAAACTTTTTTTTCACCATACACAAAAATAAACTCAAAATGGATTAAAAACCTAAATGTGAAACCTGAAACCATAGAAATCCTTGAAGAGACAACAGGCAGTAACCTCTTTGACAACAGCCATAGGAACATCTTTCTGAATATGTCTCCTGGGGCAAGGGAAATAACACCAACAATAAACTATTGGGACTACATCAAAATAAAGTTTCTGCACAGCAAAGGAAACAGTCGACAAAACTAAAAAGCAACCAACTGAATGGGAAAAGATATTTATAAACAACATATCCAATAAAGGGTTAGTATGCAAAATATATAAAGAACTGATATAATTCAACACCCCAAAGAAACAAACAACCCAATTAAAACTTGGGCAGAAAACATGAACCGACATTTCCCCAAAGAAGACATCCAGATGGCCAACAGACACATGAAAAGATGCTCAACAACATTCATCGTCAGGGAAATATAAACCAAAAAACTACAGTGAGATATCACCTCACACCTGTCAGAACAGCTAAAATCAAAGCACAAGAAACAGCAAGTGCTGACGAGGTTGTGGAGAAAAAGGACCCCTCGTGCGCCTTCGTGGGAATGCAAACTGGTGCAGCCACTGTGGAAATCAGTATGGAGTTTCCCCAAAAAGTTAAAAATAGAACTACCCCACAATCCAGCAATCGCACTTCTGGGTATTTACCCAAAAAATATAAGAACGCTAATTCAAAGGGATACATGCACCCCTATGTGTATTGCAGCATTATTTACAACAGTCAAGATATGGAAGCAGCCCAAGTGTCCATCGATACATGAAGGATAGAGAAGAGGTGATGTATACATACGGTGGAATATCATTCAGCCGTAAAAAGAATGAAATCTTGCCATTTGCAAACATGCGGATGGAACCAGAAAGTATAATGCCGAGTGAAATAAGTCAGAGAAAGACAAATACCATATGATCTCATTTGTAAGTGGAATTTAAGAAACAAAACAAACGAGCAAAGGAAAAAAAAAAAAAGACAAAGGAAGAAAGAGACTCTTAACTACAGAGAACAAACTGATGGTTCCCAGAGGGGAGGCGGGTGGGGGAATGGGGATTAAGGAATACACCTGTTCTGATGAAAAACTAAACTAAACTAAAATAAAATAAAATAGCATTCTATAAGAAAAGAAAGCTGGAAAGGAAGGGAACTAACGTGTTCAAAAGCTACAATTTGCCATCGTCTTATTTAATCAGCTGATGGTTATTTTGAGGTAAGTACTACCATCCCCACTTTTCAGATGCAAGAACTGACTTTGGAGCTTGAATACAACATGCTAGGACAAGGTTGAAATTAGAACCCACCACCAACTTCCATTACATAAAACTGCCAGCACATTAAGAGATAAAAAGTATGAAGGTGCTTACGCACATTCGCAAGTTCCTTAGACAAACCCAAATTTTAACCCAAGACAGACACAGGTATTGGAGACAGAATGGAAGGGGGTGTGACAAGAAAAACTTTAGTTAATACGCTTTGTTAGAGGCTGTGTATTAAGTCTGAGATAAATGTGTGCTTCAATTCTGCTTCAAGAGATCATTTCTCAAAAAGAAAACAATACTATTAATAGAACTGTGATCACGTGAAGTCTGTTTCTTGAACGATATCCTCAAGCCTTAGCCCTGTTGCCGTGGAGATCTTCTGCATAAAACAACTACATCTGGGGATATTTATTTCATAAAGTGAAACCTGAACAAGTGCCTCCAAGACAGTGAGCTGTTATTAATTTTATATTTTGGAAATGGGGACAATTGACCACAGTCCAAACAGACTCCGTAGATGATGGTCTTTCTCTTTCCCTGACTCACACTTGTGGCAGTCATCAGCGTGCAATCTCATAACCTCCTAACATCCTACATCAAGCCATGTGCACAGTTTTGCTTCACAATCTGGGTTTTGGTGACCACTCAGAGTTTTCCAAAGACAGGAAGCCAAAATCTTAAGCCTGTGCTCCAGAAGGTTCATCCAAAATGCCCAAATCCAAGTACTCAGAGACCCAAGAGATGTTCCTAACAACATCACCGTCTCCTGCCTCCTCCCCACATGACGAGTGGCTGCACCCTCATCCCACAGTGGGGTGACAGGCCTCTACCGAGACACCTGTCCCATGCCCCTCACAACCCTCTCCTCGTCTGCCTCCCCAGGACCTGAGAACATTTGGGGGGCAGGCCCAGAATCACACCAAGCTTGACACAGACTGTATCTCATCTGAGACTACACGGGTTGTAAGACTCACGCCAAGAGATAAAGAATAGCACGGATTGCACAATGACACATCATCCATCGTGAAGATATACTGGAGCTTCAGACTTAATGCATTAATAAATGGGCATCTTGGAACTGAGGAAATAGAGCAGTGCCTACCCAGTTACTGTGGGCTTGCTGCTGGTGGTGGCCATTTAACCAACCTTAAATAACAGGTGCAGAGAGCAATCCAATGACACGGGTATATCAGCTCTCAACATATAACTGCCTAACTAACAGCACTGTGGGTAAATACTCCAAAGAGGAAACTGGGTGAGGAGAGTGGGACCGGCCAGGGAGGAGGGGGCTCCCAGGGGTGCTGGGTGAGCCCCCAGACCAGGACAGGGTGCCTGTCCAGGACAGTCGCTAGGGCTCTGGATCAGCCTACCCGCCCCCCACCGCCAGCTCCCAGCCCAGCCCTATAAACTCCTGCTCCTGAACCAGGTTCAGGAACACGCCTCTGCTCTTTAAACTCTGCTAACCCCCATCCCACTCCTACAGATGCCAGAAGGGAAAATCACCCAGGCTACTCATTTATCTGGTAGGAAAGAGAGGTCCACCTACCACCCAGGCTTCGTTGGCCAAAACCCAACAACAGCCTGAAGCGGGAAGACGGGCTTTTCTACTCCCAGCTCAGTACGGTTTCTTCTAAACTCCAGATTAGGCAAAGGATCATGTGGCTGAGGCAAAAATGGCTATTTGGTCTTTCTGGGTTTTCTCTTCTGAAATGTTGATAAGATCTCGGAAGCTTATCTCCGTTCAGTCTGAGGAAGTTATAAACATGAATTTCCTGGAACTGTTCCCTTCAGCTCTCAGCAAATGCTTTAATTGCAAGGGACACCAGATAAGAGGTTATAGGGCCACGACTGTGGACGCTGGGGTCAACGTGCTTCTGGTGCCTTTGCTACAGAAACACAGACAGCGTGCATGGGTAAACAAATGGCCAGTTTTATCCTGGGCAAGGCTGCGGGTCATGACAAACTCTCAGGGCAATCTGAGACAAGAAATACAGGACTAGAGCCTTTATCACGGGCTCTATTATAGGAATAAAAGATCCCCACCCTGCCCCCACCACCTCATACTGTATATCAAGCAAAATTAAAAAAAAAAAAATCCTAGACAAAAGACATTCATGGCTCCTTTCTGCTTTATTCTTGTAGGAAATTTTTATTACCAGTGCAGGCCCTACAAGGCAATTCCAAAGGACTAATAATTCTAATAATACCTAGATTACAGTCAGCCTTTCAGAACAAAAGGCATTTTTAGACCATGATTTTTGTTTCACTTTCTGGGTGGCCTAGCATTTTACGTAAATGGCCCTATTAAAAAAAAAAAACTAATTTTTAGACTAAAAAAATTAAAAAATGCATGTTTACTTTGCTAAATAAAATCTATTTTGCTTTTTAAAAAGTTTTTATTTATTTAAGTAATCTCCACACCCAGCGTGGGGCTCGAACTCACGACCCCAAGATCAAGAGTCTCAGGGTCCTCTAAGCCGGCCAGACGCCCCTAAAATCTGTTTTGAAATATCACCATTCTGGTTCTTAACATTGTCGGCACATAATGGCCCATGCTGGATATCACCCTGGCACACGAGGTATTTTAGTTGTGATTTAAGGGTATGCTGCTAAAAAGAATACCAATGATGCTCTAAGGATCCCTTTAAAAAAAAAAAAAGTTTATTTATTATTGAGAGACAGAGAGAGAGCACGAGCAGGGGAGGGGCAGAAGGAGAGGGAGACACAGAATCTGAAGCAGGTTCCAGGCTCTGAGCTGTCAGCACAAAGACCGATGCGAACCCAGGAACAGCCAGATCATGACCTGAGCCGAAGTCGGATGCTTAACCAACAGAGCCACCCAGGCACCCCTCTAAGGATCCCTTTTAATCAGGTGTAATGCATGATTTTGAAATAGCTAAATAAAGTAAGAGCCTTAAGTAATGTACATCCCAACTCTCCGCTGTGAATCACTAAGTTTAAAAGGGCAAATGAACTATGTAAGTTACTCGGATCCAAAATTTCACTGGTGACCCACCTAACATGTTAAACATGGCATCGCAAATGTCATGATTTCCTGAGGAAGCACATTTTGCATCTGGGCCTTGCAGCAAAATCATGGTGTGCAGGGATCTCACCGACTCCAACAGCTCCCTACCGGCCGCACGTCGAGGGAGTGGACTTTACGAGGGCTGCTCATTTCTACCAGTGTCTGGAACATATCGGGCCCCATCAACTAGCTCCCATCCATCTGTTCCAGATTCTAGAACGGGAAGAATCTGTACCCTCTGTGAAGTACTCCTACTTCTTTCTTGTGCCTTTCCCCTTACTGGGGGGCAAGCATCGAGTAAGTCAGCTCCAAGTTAGGAGGAAAGCCTGTGCTTTCCTGCTGAGCAGTGCTCAAACCAAGAGGTCACGGCTGAGGAAGCTGGTCAAAGACGTTCTCCACTCGAACATGGGGAATGTGGCTGAAGACCCCAAATTCTTGGTCTTTGGGGGCTGTGGGTCTTGGTTTCTCTTGCAGAAGTGGGATCTCCATGGCCAACACTGGGCGGGGGGGCACCTAGACACGGGGAGAACAGAATCCCAGCCAGCTCTCAGGGGGAAAACATCATATCTATACCCCTAACCCCCTAACGGTGCAGAACAACTTAATGAAAACCACATCCCTCTTGATGATCCCCCTGGCCTCTTCCCGGCAGGACCCACAGCCAATAACCCACCATGGGATTGTAAGAAGTTACGTCCAGTGGGAGCTGAACTGCATTAACTGCATTTTAAACAGAAAAAACACATTTGTTCTAGATGGAGTCTGGCAGACAAACATGTCCACACACAACTTCAGTGGCCACTTTAAGGGCCAATTAGTGATAAAATTTGAAAGCGACGGTGAAACAACATAGCCTTTAGAACAACGGTCTCTTCTAGTCTGTTCCAGTCTCTCTTTTTTTAAATATTTTATTTACTTTTGAGAGAGAGACAGAGTATGAGCAGAGGAGGGGCAGAGAGGGAAGGAGACACAGAATCTGAAGCAGGTTCCAGGCTCTGAGCTGTCAGCACAGAGCCCGACGTGGGGCCCGAACCCACAAACCGCGAGATCATGACGTGAGCCAAAGTCGGACGCTTAACCGACTGAGCCCCCCAGGTGCCCCTGTCCAGTCTGTTTATACATTTCAGGACATGACAAATTAATTAATATTATATACATTTTCTTTCATGCCCCAATTTCCAGCATGAATGCTATGAAGTACGTTAAGTTCTAAAAATTCCCTAAGATTTAGGATTTGCAGTCCTAGTGCCAAAGAAGGAAGGAGATCATGGAGGTCAGTGACTCTAGCTTGAAATGAAGCCTATTTCCGGCCCTTCTCTGATCTTCAGACCAACAGGGAGGTCTCCTCAACATTAAAGTGACTTCCCTGTGGGAATGCAGGGAGGGGGGAGGTTCGCGGATTCAGTTTGGAGAGCGCCTTTCTGCTTAACCGAAGGATGCCAAGTGCTCTGCGTGTGTGTGCATGCACGCGTGTGTGAGTGGGGGGTGAGGGGTGTGGGTGAGAGACAGAGCACAAGCCCATACATACACTCGGTCCCGCTGATCTGCCAGCTGTGACATAACTTTTTGCAGGAAGGCATATTCGGAATGGGTTTAACAATGAAGTCCTCCATTTCCCCGCTTCTTTCCTGCTTCTGATGGAAGGTAGACCTTTGACATCACTGCTTTCACAAGTTTTATGTGTTTCCCATCCCACCAAATAGGGACATATGGACATCTGCCAAGTCTAAACAGCTTATCTTTCAAATTCCTTTGTACATTCCCCATGCTGTGCAAAATGTCAGAATAGTTTTGTGGTGATATTACCATCCCGATTTTCTTCCTGGTTGTAGCACTTCTTCAGGGAAGCTTTGGAATCATTATCCAACCAAAGAAATATGTGGAGACAAAGGCATGTATTTCAGAGCTGCTAGGGCAGAAATTAAAGGTGTGCAGGAATGAACAGTGGGGCTCTCCTACCTCCCCCTCCCCCCACCACGGGACTGTCAAATGGGACAGATGCTGGATGACTGTTCGGCAGTGTCTCAGGGCCCGAACATACACACGGGGGCTTTCCTAGATGATTCCACGCCTGGCATGTGCCCCACAGGTGTGTGTGTGTTCATGTGCATCGCGGGGACATCATCGAGAGACACGCTCACGCGCAGCTAACCACATTTGCCCTTATCACATGCTACCAGACTTTGATCTTTGCCGTTCCGTTATTTTTCATTCTATTTCATTACCAGGAAAGTGCTGATGTGGTCAATCAGAGAGGACCACCAAAAGAAACGCATCAAGAGTCCACCTTCTTTTTGGACATTAAAACATCGTAAATGCTGCTTACTGCCACGAGGTTCTGCAAAATGGCCCTCCACACCTCCACGCACCCACTGCCCAGGCGGGACAGCCCTGAAAGAGAACCTTAACTCTCAGAAGAACACACACTGGTCCCGCTGCACTGACTTCAAGGACAGGTGAAACTATCCAGGGTGAAAAAGTCCGAAAGGTGGGGGGGCCGCCTAACCCAGGGCGGTTCCTGGGTGCTGGACATGGTCTCTGCTTGATGAGTCGGGTGTCTACACGGGGCAGGGGTTCCCATTTGCAAAAGGTCCCTGAGCTGGGAACTCACAGTTTTTGTACTTTGTTGTATTTCAGTCAAATCAGATAAAGCATATTCAAGAATGGTCATCAGAGCCCTCTACACACGGGCGTGGGCGACCACAACACGGGGGACCCTCACACACACGACACTGAGCGAAGGGAAGCCCAGCGCAGCAGAGCGAGCCCGGTGAGTCCGTTGATACAAAGCTGAAAACTAAACAGAATTAAGTTGAATGCCGGCTACCCCCGGGGGCTGTCGGTGAGGGGAAGGGGGACCAAGGGGTTTCCAGGCTTCTGTTTGGTGGGTGTGTTCTGTTTGTGCAAGATGCACTCAACTGTGTCCGTATCATTTCACACGTTTCTTCAATAAAATTTACCCCCCCCAGAAAGTTTAAAACTTATTAGCAAACTGGAGAGCGAAATAGAGGCCAGATGTTACAGTGCAAATAGCAATTTCTCAAAAGCTTACATTTGTGCAGCATTTTTGAACTTCCAGAACTATGTTTGGCATTATGGATGTAAGGATGATTAATCTCCAAGGGGCTCTCCATCCATGTTCTCTTATCTGCGTGTGTTTTATTATATCGGCCTCGTTTTGTTTTGATAAATGTTAGATGCGATTCAAAGGATGTGAAAATTATCCTGCGTCGTTAGTTCAATGGAAGGGAGAATTTCGTTTAACTAAAATAACATTTCTGTTTCATTCAATCATGGAAAACATGGAAACCAAATACCCTTACTACTCTCTGGACTTACAAAATTTTTCTGTTCCCATTTGAAAACAACTGCAAGTGTTGATGCATTCTTGGCAAAAAAACAAATTAGCATGAAACCTTTGAGAAACAAACTGAACTTGTGACATGAGCACGTCTGAGTAAGCGCAGTGCGTGGGAGGCTGGGGCCCGTGGGGTCTGCGGGGGCTCCCAGCAAAACCGCACGAGGAGGAAGCCGGGGGGGGGGGTGCCTGCCTGGCTCGCCTGACCGTCAGCCTGGGATCGTGGGTCTGTGCAGATGTCACCCACCCTACGATCTATGTGGTCTCATTTTCATGTCTTTTCCACTTTCTCCCACACCCGGTGTGTGATCGCTCATGTCCCCCGCCTGGGGAATGGAATGGGCCAGAGGGAACGGCTGGGGCCTCGCTTCACCTCCAGGTCATGTCTTGTCCAGCTGCAAGCAGATGTGACTATAATTAGCGGCCCCGTGACAGTGGCTCAGAGGTCTCTGTGTGAAATGAGTTGGTGGGCCGGCGTGTCCCCTGGGACACATGGGTGGGGCGAGGCTGAGGCCAGAACCGGGAGGCCAGGGCTCTCTGGTGCTGCTGTGGGATCACCAGTTCCTGGGAGGATGTGAGAAGCCCAGGGTCCTCCCACTGGAGTCAAAGCCTCAAATGTTCCTCCAGAGCAAGAGGCCATCCTGGGCGAAGGTGTGACTAGGGCCCTTGGCCTCAGAGGGAACATTATTTCCACTTCATGGGGGGGAGGGAAGGAGCCTCCCCTAATAAACTTGCTCTTGGTCATTGTCCCCCAGCCCCTAACCTCTGGTCGCCCCCCCACTGCCCGCCTTCCCCCCCCACACACACACACTGTCCTGCCCCGTCGCCTTCTCGAGACTCCTTTCCGAAAGTGCCACACGACATTTCCCAGCCACTTTGAAGCCCAGAACGTTTCACCAGCCAGGCTAGGGAAAAAAAGTTGACCATTTTCTCCAGCTTTGGGAAAATGTGCAAGCTCTCTGCTGGGCTGAAGTCCTGTGGGGGCTCTTCTGGCTATGTTTGTTTTTCATCCTCTCCTCTCGCCAGGCTCCAAAACAAAGCACACTTGACTGCTTCCATGCCTCCTGTCCAGCCACTGCCTGTCAGACATCCTCACTTTATTTCTGAAGGGCCCCAGACCAGCCCACAGGGGGCGAGTCCACAGGACGAGCCGCCTCCTCAGGCCTGAGCCACCCATTCACCCACACTTGGTCTCAGTCCAGTGTGACTCCATCATCTTGACCTGATGGGTGGTCGGAGAGAAGGGCACCTGTTCCGGGACACAGGCCAGGCTATGGTAGCACTAAGCACGCTAGCAAACGGGATGAGGAGGCGAGATGACAAGGTGTCGCCTCTCCTACAAGAGAGGGAGCTGAGTCCCACAGATGCAGAGGGCGGGGCCCCTGCGCCCCAGTGGTAGAGACTGGTGGCAGGTCCCAGCAGAGGTACAGACTGGGGGCTGCTGGCCTGGAGGGGAGGGCAGAACATGAGGAGGGGTAAGCAAGGCAAGAAAGAGGCAGGGAAACAAAAGCGGAGCAAAAGGCACTGCCCTGGGATGTGGGACGCGGGTGCTGGGGGCCAAGGGGACACTGGCAGCTGTGAGACAGAGCCCCAAACACATGCTTCAAGAGGATGCTGTCCAACAGAGCAGAATGAGGGAGAGCTGGCATGGGAGGCCAGTCGGGGCACTGTTAGCTTGGCAGGTGACGAGTGACAACACATCCCTGAGGCTGATGGGGAAATGAATTTGAGTGTCTGGGCGAAAAGGGCGTAGCTGACTCTGCAGAGTCTCTGCCCTTCCCCAGCTTCTGTGTTTACTTTCTGGAGGCTTAGG